TCAACCTTTATACGAGTTATACTATTCAAAATGTTGACTCCTTTTTGGGGGAGGTACTAGTAGCTGTGGTCCGATTTATCCCATCTCCATAAAAGATGCAGATTTGGTAAAAATATTAGTATATGCGCAATATGAAGATAATTTTACTCTTCTTTCACATTATATAAGCATCAAGATTATTCAAAATGTTGACCTCTTGTGGGGGAGGTACTAGAATGATGGAAAGATATTGTCGATCGTACCTGACCTAGCACTGACAAAAATATTAGAATTTTCAAAGCTTGCACAAAATTGGATTAACCTTTTTTGTTCTATAATGTAAGTTATAATAACGTAATAATATACTGAATATACGCTTCATAATATGGAGGATGATATGATCACTTAATTCCACATGTTGATACAAAACTTCCGCCATTTACTGTAGGCTAGTGTTGAAAATTAACAAAAAACAGAGTTGCAAAAAAACATGACACAACAATAACAGACAATAGGTAAAATATAAAAAAAAACATATCTCCATGCGTAATGATAATCGTGTCAAGTCATTAAGTTCGGTCCAATGGCAAAACTTTCGATACGATCAATTTATTTTTAGAAATAAATGCAATATGAAAAAATATATAAAAAAAACAACAACGATTTTGAAAAATGAAAGTAATCTTAAACGGGTTGCTTTAGGTACGTAACACACTCTTGACACACACACGTACACCGTATTCATCAACAAGGTATTTAGAGGCATACTGTTACAGCTTATATACACAAGCATGGATTATATTTTATTATACCCTACACCACATAGTGGTAAGGGTATTGTGAGTTTGTTTGTAACAGGGAGAAGGAGGCGAGAGAGACCAATGGTTACTTTTGGGGACTTCATAAAATCACTTTCTGAGTCGATTTATGCATGTCAGTCCGTCCGTCTGTCAATGTATTTTTGTGAACAAAATGCAGGACACATTTATTATCCAAATGAGATGACATTTTGCAAACAATAACTTTTTGGCCCATCGACGAACCCTTGTGTTTAAAATTTTGTCAATATCGGTTCAAATTTGAATATAGCTCGCATATATATTTTTTTCGATTTTATGTTTTTTGTGCACCAAATGAATTCATTTTTTTCACTTCCGACGGAATTCAGCCTAACCAGAAGCGCATCAGATTTTGGTGAAAATCGGTTCAGATATACCTATAACTCCCATATATATGTTTCATCTGATTTGGTGTTAAAGTTCCTCACACGCGTAATATGCACTCCACAACAATGATATGTGATGCCGGACATCAGACACCGCTCGAAAATACCTCTGCCAAGATTTTTTTATACCTTCGATACACATCTTCATACGATTTTACCGCTATTGTCCACCATATATGTAATATCAGACCATATTGGATAAATTTTTTGTATATTCAACCGAATTTTCCATTTGATGAAACTCGGTCGGGTATATCTGTAGCTCCAATAAATATTTTTTATTATATTCCTTGTCGAAGTCTTGTCATACACAATACAGCAATGCTATTTGGTACAAGAAGTACAAAAGCCTTCGTGTAAATTGTTGAAAATCGGTTCAGAGTTGGATGTTGTTCCCAAATTGTGGCTTCTCTTCTTCTGTTCATATAGATCCAAGTTGAAAATCGGTTCAGAGGAATTGTATCAAATTCAGTATTTGGAGTCCGTAATAGACACTAACTCCACAGACAGAAAATTGCTCCACGTCTTCGTATAACCCCCTCATGATGATCATTTCGCTTTCTTTGATTGTTCTGTTTTCCAAATCCTGAACCCTGTGTGGTGGAGGTACCAGAAGAAATGGCCCGTTCTCTACCATCCTTATAAAAACTCTTGTGTTGATGGAAATATTGAGATGTGCCAAGTCTGAATGGAATCGGGTGTGCATGGGTATTCAAAAATTTGACCCTTTGTGGGGGAGGATGTTAATTTTGCGTGTTATGAGGGGGAGGTACTTGATGGAGCCCAGATGCAAATATTAGGATTTGCAAAGTTGGAGCAAAATCGGATTATTCGTTCTCTTTATGTGCAGTAAAATATTTTTTTTTTTTTTTTTTTGAAAATTTTGACCTTTTGTGGGCGAGGTACAAAGGAGTGGGCCGATATTGCCCATCTCCGAACTCGATCTAAGTGTGATAATAATATAACGATGTAGAAAGGTTGGACCAAATTCGATACTTCCTTCAAAAGCTCCAACCAGCAGACAGCGGACGGACATCGCTAGATTGACTCCAAATGTCCTGAAAGGGATTTGGTCCGAGGAGACCTAGGGTCTAAAACCGTTATTTTGATAAGACACGTTTTGGCCGTATCAAATGATATCTACCCTCTGTAGCCATGGTGTGTACGAGGTGTTCCCTTTTATTATACCCTCCACCATAGTATGGAGGGTATATTAAGTTTGCCATTCCGTTTGTATCGCATCGAAATATATATTTTAGACCCTATAAAATATATATATTCTTGATCATCATTTAACGATGTCCGTTTTGGTATAGCCCCCATATTAAAGTACCTCCGTTTATTCGGCATTTTGATCATTTTAGCTTCGCATTTGAATATTGTGTTGGCTCATGACAAAAAGTATCCAATGCAAATCCACGTCGTCCCTACATAACAGCTACATTCGGTATTTTTAAGATTTTAACAGATTTAAGATTTTTAAGATTTAACAGAATGTGTTAGGGGTATTATATGTTTGATTGGGCCAAAAATAATGTAATACCTCGAAATATTGGTTTCCCACATAGGGAAGTATATATGGAGCTGAGTCGATTTAGCTATTTATGTCCGTCCGTCTGTCCATGTTAATTTGTAATCACTCAACAGGTCGCAATTATGGCTCGATCCGGAGGTGGGGCTAAGGCCAGAATAGAAGCCTATTGCTTTTGGAGATGATCGCATAATATTTTTAGGGGTTGAAATGGTCCACAAACTGAAAATTTTCCTGATTGTGCAGTTGCTCTACAGGTCGCAATTATAGACCAATTGACGCGGAAGTTAGCATGGAGCTTGAGCTTAGGGCTAGGCAGAAGCCTTCCGATTTGGTTGGTCATCGGGTAATATTTAGTGGATGAAATAGACCATAACAATTGTGTTAAATAAAAGACAACTTTTCCATTAAACCGCGAATATTTTTAATCCTGGCGAAATCACAAATAGACAAACAGGTCAATTCTAACCGTTACGTAGATGCCGATAGTAAATATATCGCATATATGTAGCGATATATATATATATATATATATACAATGTGTATACAAAAGAAGGGGATGTGAGCTAGGAGGCTTATATTTCAAGAATGGCTGGAGAATGGACCACTACTTTTGTGTGAAAAATGCCAGCATTACTTACAGGCGATATCTGCGAACTTCTGGCTTTTTATGATGATTTCGTTGACCAATTATCGTAGGCAAGCACATCATGTAGATGAGTCTAAATTTGGAGATACAGAGGGGCCTTTTGCTTTTGGAGATGATTGCAAAATATTTAGGCGTTCAAATGACCCCAAAAACAGAAAAATATTCCAGACCACACAATTGAAGCCAATCGACAAGCCTGAGAAGAGAGTTAAGAACATGGAAGAATTCTAGCATTTTGGATGACGTTTGGATTATATTTAGCTGTAAACTGGACCACAACAACTAACAGCGTAAATATTGGGCAAATGTCAAAAAGCAAAGGGTAATATCTGGGCAGTGCTCCGTGACATAATTTCAAAAGTGGATTTGGATATAAGGGGTCTTCTAACATATTGTAGTGTTCTAGGGTATCACATGGTCAGCCTCGCACGACTATAGCCTTTGCATACTTGTTTTTTATTTATTTATTTATTTATTTTTTTTTTTTTTTTTGAAAATTTCCAAATTCTTTTCCAAATATTCATTCAAAGTTCGGCCCGGCCGAAATTACAGCTATTTTACTTGTTAGAAGTGGCGAACGAAACATTCGGATAGGTGAGTTTAGAAGTTGGTTTTGTCGTTTGCTGATCAATTAACTTTTAGGCGCAAAAAGCTATTATTGTCTAATGTCATATTAATTGGGTACATTAGCCCAACAATTTTTAATAATTTCAAATTATTACAAAATGTTGTTCAATAACCCATATTTCCTATAAATGCGAAAGAATTGGCAATACATTCTACATTACTGAGTAACTGAGAATTTACAAATTCTTTCTGAGAAAATGTACTCAGTAAACAAATAAAAAGGCTACGAAGTGGACATGCATTACCATTATTCAAATGCCATTACAATATTCAAATGCGAAACTTGAAAAAAATCGGCGAACATGCAGAGAACATTTTCTGTCTTAGGCTGTAGTATCCATTACGAACTTCAAATACCAAAGACGAAACAATTCCGGTGAAAAATGCCCCTAAAATCATCAAAACACCGGATATTGGGGGATACCATTATATGGGGGCTATACCAAAACGTGGACCTACATGACCTATTTTCTATATCTATATCAGATATAATATACATTTGAGTAATATTTTATCAACCTACTTCATTTCATTCGGAAGCTAGAGTGATTTCCACAGACGGACAGGCGGATAGACAGATAGACGGGCAGACGGACGGACATCGCTAAATCGATATAGAATTTTATGCTAATCAAGGATAAATATACTTTGTGGAATGACCAACTTCATATACCCTCCATACTATGATGAAGGGTATAAAAACTAGTATAGTCTAATGTCATCTTAGGTGTGTACGAAAACCCAATAATTTGTAATAATTTCTACAAATTATTACAGAATGTTGTTCAATAACCCATATCTCCTGTAAATGCGAAAGAATTGGAAATACATTCTAGATTACTGAGAATTTTACAAAACTGAGAATTTACAAATTCTTACTGGCAAAATTTACGCAATAGAAAAATACTACAAAAACAATAACAATTTTGATGTTGTCAAATGTTTTGTTGGTGTAAAGACATTATGTAAATAATTTTCTTTACACTTACCTTTTTCGTACTAAATCCCAAAAACGACAGTTTTCGGACATTACTGTCACCAGAGGAACCCTGGCCACTGAAACTCATTTTGATGGAGTCTTCCTTCTCCTCTTTATGTTGCTGCTATGAGATTGAGGCTTTTCTGAATAATTCCAAAAATTATAACTGTAAATAGAAGAGAGCAGAAATAAATTATGAATATAAATCACTTAAAAGAACAAATTGCAGTATGTTTTAATAGAACGATAGTTAGGTATATCACTGTAAGAACTTGTGTAACAACAATGGCAACAACAACAACAATAAAATTAAAATAAATGCCTAAAGCAATAATGTCACAATGTTTTCTTAAATGTAATTGCGCCTTGCCGTTTAATTAAAGTCACGCATGTATCTTGTCACGCAAACAAACGTGATGATATCAAATGAATCCCCATATCATTCACATCATTTGGCTACTTTCATCTTCATTAAACATCCTGTTCTATTCGCAATCATGTCTGTTTTCATGTCATAACGTCATCGACATCAGAGCGTAGCCGATCAATGATGACAATGAAGATGATGATGATGATCATCATCATAATTGTTATTGCCAATTAATAAAAGCACGAGACTGGGTGTTTTTTTTTTTAATTTCATTCCTATGTAATCAATTAAGCCCACTCCTCATTGTTGTGAAACATTTTTGTTGTGTCTCCAAAGTTCGTCTGCCAACGAAGAATATTCTACAAAGAATAAATAATAATAATAAAGAAATTGCCGATAGCCTGAATGATCGATAGTTCGTTCGTTCGGCCGTTGGTTCGATTGGCCATACATAACTCGGTCGTTCCACGACATTCATTCATTCATTCGTTCACACTGTGAGCGAGACTGTCACAAATAATGAATTGAGTTTAATTTATTGACAGTGTTAATAAAATAGCTTGGAATGTTTAGAGTAATAATTTCACAATTTCAAACAATAAATGGCATTTCAAATAATTGGGAAGGAAATATTCCATTATACATTTTCTGAACACACGTCCGTACACACGTATGTTTGAATGTGCGCAATACATTTGTTTTTGTTTACACAGAATTTTTACAAAAAAAAAAAAACGGTTGTTTGATTTTAACCATGGTGACAAGGAATACAAGGTAAGAGCAAATCCACCGAACAATTCTAATTTTATATCCTTAACTTTGTCATTCCGTTTAGACCAACCAATGTACATACATATATTCTTGATCAGCGTAAAATTTTAAGTCGATTTAGGGATGTCCGTATATCGGAGAGACAGACAGTCTCAGTCTTTGGAAAGATTTGAGACAAACGGCTAAAATTTTGAACACATGTGTATTTTCCCAGTAGGCAGGTTAAATTCGTGAATGGGCGATGCTGGTCCACGTTTTCGTAGTGGAAGCTGCTGATATATGGGGGTTATATCGGTATTTGGGTGATTATATCAACATTTTATTTTTTACCGGAATTGATTCAAATTTCGTATTTAAAGTTCGTAGTGGGTACTACAGCCAAGACAAAAAATTGCATATGCATGTCCACGTCTTCATATAGCCTCCATATAAAGATACCACCCGATATTCGGTATTTTCATTATTCCCGGAATTGTTTTAAATTTCACATCTGAAGTTCGTAGTGGGTACTACAACCTATGCCAGACCAGTAAGGAAAAGTCAAAAGTCGTGTGGAGCCGACTATATGATACCAAACACCACGATGCATATTTAGTAAAGCCTCCGTAACAAAAGAATTTATTTGAGGTAGATCATACTATTGGCTTTAGGGCAGCTTTAATTTGGTTCCAAAGAGTTTGGTTCGTATGGGAGGTAATCCAATTCTGTATCAATTTTCACTAAAATTGACGGAGACATTTTAATCTTTTATACCAAGTAACATTGCTATAGCTTCGGCCGGGCCGAACTTTGAACTTTGGACCTGCACGGACATTGTAGTATCCATTACGCACTTCAAATACCAAATTTCAAAGAATTCCGGGAATAATGTCGCTAAAATCAACAAAGAATCAAATTTCGGGAGGTACCGTTATATGGGGGCTATACGAAGACGTGGACCTGCACAAACAATTTTCTTCCATAGGATGTAGTATCCATTACGAATTCCAAATGCGAAATTTGAAACAATTCCGTCAAAAATAGCCGCTAAAATCTTCAAACTACTGAATATCGTGGGGTAACGTTATATGGGGGCTATACCAAAACGTGGACCTACATGGCCCATTTTCAATACCAAACGTCCTGCAGACATAGCATACATTTGAGTAAAATTTTATCAATCTACTTCAATTCGTTCGGAAGCTAGATTGATTTCCACAGACGGACAGACGGATAGACGGGCGGAAATCGATAAATCGACATAGAATTTTATGCTGACCAAGAATATATATACTTTGTGGGATCTAAATGTATATTTCGAGGTGTTACAAACGGAATGGAAAACTTAATATTCCCTCCATACTATGGTGGAGGGTATAAAAATATATATATCGGAGCCGAGTTCCACCAAATGGAAACGTACGTCACAAAATTCACTCCATTTGGTCTGATATTAGTTATTATTTGCATAACAGACCTGAAATGGGATTAAGGATATATATGGGAGCCATATCCACATCTTAGCCGATCTCGATAAAATTTGGCAAAGGTATTTCCGACCTCTAGAAGATATCTGGTACCAAGTATCATTCTTGTCTATTGCATATTAAGAATGTGAGGGACTTAAGGACCAAATTGGACGAAATATATATATATATATATATATATATATATATATATATATATATATATATATATATATATATATATATGAGAGCTAAAGCTATATCTGAACCAAATTTGATGTAATTGCTTCTAGACAAAATTTGGTCGGATGTGTCAAAATTCAGGTCATTTTGACTATTATTGAACATTTGCTGCGTAATTAAACAGAAATCGGTTGAAGATATATATGAATGCTATATCCAAATCTGAATTGATTTTGATACAATTTGGCGGAGGCATTTCTGGGCTGTATCTGATATCTGGTACTAAATATCATTCTTGTGGGGTGCATATTATGTCAGGGACTTAAACACCAAATCGGATGAAACAAATATATGAGATATAAATGCTACCTACATTTTGTTCACAAGAATACATTGACAGACGGACTGACATGCATAAATCGATTCAGAAAGTGTTTCTATAACAATCCTTAAAAGTAAATATGGGTCTATGTCGCTTCCATTGCCACATTACAAACAAAGACATAATACCCTTACCATTATGCGGTGTAGGGTATAAAAATTGCAAATAGAAGACCACGTCTTAGTATAGCCCCCCTATAATGACTTTGATTTGAGTAGTATTTTTTAAGAGGTTTTCTTTTTGAAAAAATTCAAGTTCCTTCGAAATGGTGGACGTTATTAAAAGTCCGTCCCAGCCGAACTTAGCTGCTGTTTTAATTGGTGTTATATAGTTACTTTTTGGCTGTTTGAGTTATATTTTGAACAGAATTTGATGTTAATTGGCCGTTTGTGTTCCCTATGTGTGTGTGAAATATCCGTGCAAAGAACCCGATAATCGGTATTTTGATTATTTTCGGAATTGTATCAAATTTAGCATTGGGAGTTTGTAGTTTTTTGAAAAGCCTAATAAAATAAGAAGATTTAGCCTTGTCTGTCCGCCCGTCTGTACGTCTGTTGTAATTACGCTAGAGTCAAAACGAATTAAGATAGGAAGCTAAAATTTTGCACAGATTGACCTCAGGCAGGTCAAGTTTGGTCCACGATATCATATAGACCCCATATAACGGTACCCCCGATATTCGGAATTTAGATGACTGTAGCCACATTTTTCAGTGGAGTTGTCTGAAAATTCACACAATGAGTTCCTTCTGAGTACTTTACCCCCTGGATGATAATTGTCTATATAGGTTCAAGATATCGTGTAGCCCCCATGTAACGGTACCGTACCCCCTTCCCCCGAAATTCGTTATTTTAAAGATTGTAACGAAATTATTCACCGGAATTGTTTCAAATTGTACATGCAGGTCCACCTCGTCGTATAACGATATTCGGTATTTTGATGAATTTAGGGACATTATTTACCCGAATTGGTCCAAATGTTGTGTTTGAACCCCAATGTATCGGGTTTCCTTTGAGCGGCAATTTTCGAAGGATTTTTTTGGAAAATTTTCAACTTACTTCAATTATTTTTTTGCATTTTGCAAATTCCTTCCAAATGGAGGAAAGTATTAAAAATTCGGTCGGGCCGAACTAAGCTATTCTCTTTTTTGTTATTTTTGCTACGTGTTATTTTTGTTACTTGTTCAGACTTTGCTACAAATGTTCTTATAATTGAACTATTCAATCTGACTTATGGAAAATTCCAAGTGGATTAGATAGTACTCAGCTCAGATTAAAACTTCAAAAGAGTTTTGAGTTTTTAGGCCAAATTTTTTTGGGGCCTTTATTCTTTACAATATACAAATGGGCCCAATAATTCAACTTATATTTTTTATATATTTGTAGCTTTGGAAATTAACATAGAGCTCTGGACTACTTATCATTAAAAATCATTGTTTTAAAAAATTGTGATCGATTTTGTATGGGTGTCAGACTATGCAGGAGTTATGGGTAACGAAATAACAAAGTCACAGGCAAGGACTGCCATAGAATTAGCCGCAGTAACTCACCAAATCCCTATGGGAAAAGCCAAATGAAGCAAAAACAAATAGCTTAATTGTGGTAAATGAAGCAGATATTAGTACAATGACAGACATTTTGACGGGGAACCTTAATCGCATAGATATGTGGAGGGTCTGTGGAGGAGAAAATTAAACGTTGGAACACTCTCTCTCTCTCTCTGTCCAGCTTTTGCTAACAAAAGAACCCAGTATTTGGGAAATGGGTCTTAAAAAAAATTAGAGTGATTTATATTTAAAAGTTAAGGGACATTGTAAAAAAACAAAATGCTTCCATAGCAAACATTTCTTTAAAACAACAGGCCTGTTCTAGCTGTAGTCTGACAATTTAGAATCCCACATATAGTTTGCGATATCTGATTATAAACTTCAATAAAATCTGTTTCAATGTAAAGGTCAGAAGACCATTGTCAAGTGCTACTGATTTTGGCGGTAAGTGTCTTTCAGCCTCAAAAGCATACGTTGTTGAAGAGAAATTTTGGTATATTTTTTAAACAAAAATTGTGGTATATTTAATTATTTTACGGTACCCTGTTCTAAACCCCAAACTCATGTAAAACTTCATGTCGATTGGTCTATACTTGTGACCTGTAGAACAACAGCAAAATCCTGAAAATTGTCCATTTTTGGTCCATTTTATCCCACAAATTTCCAAAATTTCCCAAAAAAAAATAGGCTCTCTTCAGACCAAACTCAAGTTTAGCCAGGATCGGACCATTCCTGCGACCTGTAGAGTGATTACATATTAACATAGACAGACAGATGGACACACATAGATAGGGGCTATACGAAGACGAGAACTTCCATACGAATTTTTTTCCAATGGCTTTTACCCAAATCAATCTTTGAATACGATATTTGAAACAATTTTTGTCAATAATTTTGCTAAAATCATTTAAATGCCGAATACAGGGACGTATCGTTATATGGGGGCTATCCGAAAACGTTGATCGGCATAACCCATTTACGAACTTAAGGTGCCTACTGGCAAAATACACACGTGTGCAAAATTTTAGCCATCTATCTCAATTCGATCGAAAGATAGTGCGATTACAACAGTCAGACAGTCGAGCATCGTTAAATCTACTTAGATTTTACGCTGATGCAGAATATTCATTATAGGGTATATCTGGAGTATTTCAAGGTGTAACAAACAGAATGACAAAACTAATATAAACTCCATAGAATTGTGGAAGGTATAACAAAAATTGGTTGAAAATTATGAAAATATAATGCTTGAAACGTAAAATTTGTTACTAGGGCCTGGACATATGAACACATTTCAAAAATGTTTACTATATTTATACGAAAAGTACTAAATAGTACTAAATTTTGTATTGGGTGAAGGAATAGAGCTGAAATCGTGAAATTTGATATATATGTCACTGTTCGAGTCTGTGGTTAAGATATGGATGTAGTTTTGAAAATGTGTACTACATTTGTATGAATAGTACTAAATAGTACTAAATTTGATATTGATGTCACTTTCATACAGACGTCACTGTTAAGGGCCGAGTCTAAGATATGGATGTGGTTTTGGAAATGTGTACTATAATTATACGAAAAGTACTAAATTTGGTATTGGGTGAAGGGATGAGCTGGAATCCCAAAATTTTTAATTGAGGTCTATTGGTATTTGGTCTTGAGATTTGGTGGTAGTGTTGCAAGTGTGTACAATAATTGTTCGAAAAGTACTAAGTAGTACCAATATAGGATCACTATTTGGATCTAGGATGGATTCGGCGAAGGCATAGAGCTGAAATATTGTATTGAGGTCACTGTAGGTTTCTAGGATTTTCATATGGAGACTTTGAAATAGTTCCGGACTGTAAAAATGGATGTGGGTCCATTGTCCTTCTCGGTGATTTTTTAAATAAAAGGTGTAAAAGTTAAACATTTTCCTATTTTTCTTTCCGAAAAAGGAAAACTTGAATAATACAAGGTGGCGCAAAAGTAATCCTTCTATCAGAAAATGCTATAAATTTTACGATTGGCCCCTAATGTCTTAATTATAGCCAAACCAGTAAAGAAAGTCTTAAAGTCGGGCGGGGCCGGCTGCGGAGGACAAAAATAACAAATCGGATGAACAATATATATGGGAGCTATAGCTATATCTGAACCGATTTCGATCAAATTTGGCATACTTATTTTCAGATCCAATCTGATTGTACGTGCAAAATTTCATACTATTCGGACAGATATTACACGTTTGGTGCACAATAAAAGGCAAATCGGACGAAGATATATATGGGAGCTATATCTAAATTTTGACCGATTATCTCCAATTTCAATAGGGTTCGTCCTTGGGCCAAACAAATGATTTGTGCAAAATTTCATCTGGATAGGGCAATAAATGCGAACTGTACTTTGTTTACAAAAATACATGGACAGACGGACGGACGGACATGCATAAATCGACTCAGAATGTGATTCTATGCAGATCATCAAAAGGAACTATGGGTCTAACTCGTTTCCTTTTGCCTGTTACAAACAAATGCACAAAGACATAATACCCTGACCACCTTGTGGTGTAGGGTATAAAAATATCGGAAGTTTACTTTTGCGCCATCATGTACAAAATGGCATATGTACTTGACAGACATTCCATGACATTTTGGGGGCTACACCACATTTCCCGACGGAATGAGACTTTATGTTTTATCCTGAGTTGCAATGGATACAAATCAATTTCGTTTAAAATATTGTTATAGCCCCCACATTGCGTCCAATATGAGGTGTTTTAATTTTTCTAATTTTCTACGAAATTAGATGACAATATATTTTTTGTGATTTTGTGCTTCCAAATGTCCATTTTCTGAAATGGGCGCCAATATAATATGAGCAAAGTGATTTAATCCTTGATATGGTGTATTGACTCGATCTTATACTTAAAAATTCGAAATGTATTCCCATGTGGGAGCAACAAGTAATCGTGCCGGCTTTTATTCATGTTATGAAAGAAAATGATTTGTTTGCGGGAATATATTTTCAGCAACTTCCCTGTATATGTATGCATACAATTTGAATAAAAGTTTAATTCTCACTCACGGTCGAATAATTTCTCACAATTAATATCTTTTTTATGAATTTATTGAACTTGGATGAAAATCACGTGCAATAGTTCCAACTCAAAAAATCGTTTTATTTTCACTTTTTGGCAACTGAAACACTTCAAAATGATTCATACTTATTTATTTGTGTTTATTCTTTGTAAAAATTATTTACGCCGTAGAAACTCCGAGAAGCGTTGGGGCTAAAAATTCTAGAATTTCGCCGATACTGATTGATTAATTTTTATAGAGCTGGAAATAAATCAAATGACATTTTCACACGCTAAATTTTCCATGGCTTCGATCGATTGGTTCACTGACATCGAGGACACAAATCACAACTTTGTCCTGAAACACTTTTCATAAATTATTAAATTGAATATAGAAAAGTCATTTACCGTTTAATTCAAATGCAAACAACCATTTATTGCATTGTTTTATTTGTCTACTCCTTTTCTTGATGGCCTTTAATTATTAAAGTCCTTTTTGTATTTTTTTGTTTCACTTTTTCACTTTACAGCGCCACAAGTGATTGTGTCGCACAATTTCACACCAACACGGACCGAATTGAGTCAACGCCACACTTCACGCCTTATGAATATGTATGTATAAGATAATGTATTGCGAATAACAACAAAATTGAATAAATTAAGGATAGAAGGATACACTAAGCGAAACAAAACAAAAATAACTACAACAACTACAACAGCGAAGCAAGCGGACGGCAAACAAGAAGTATCGATTATAACCGCACGAATGTTAAAATCGATATGAACTTGTTGCTAAAGAACACACGGCGATTTATGCACCATCAAGTCAGCCACACGATATAGACACCACAGCAGACAAGCGGATAGACAGACAGTAGCAGAGTTACCAAAGTAATAATCATCGTCATTGGTTGCCTGCCAGCCTGCCTGCTTGTGATATCGAAGTCGCCGACGATAAAAGACAGGCGTTGAACAACAACAACAACACCCACCAACCGAACGACCGACAAACAAACCTTACTACGGCACCTACAAAATTAAATCTCTTTTCAAACCCCGAAACCCTTTGTTGACAAACTTAAATAACCAAGCTACCGGGCTCGTCTGTGCGGTCTCGGTCTCACATTCAAGTACACACTCACACACATAATTCAAATCATTAGAAGTGCACGTTTCCTAATTCAACGACAGGAACGAACGACAATTTACTCAAATCTCCATCGCATACTTTCTCATGTGTTTGCTCGGAACGTAGTTAATCAATAAACAATGGGAGAGAGAAAGAGAATGTAATAACAAAAACCAATAAAATTGTTTATTTACATTCGCCTTGCACAGTGATTACAGAGCATTAGGTCTAAATGGCTTAGAAGTCTGGTGAGTTAGTTTTCTTTTCACAGTAGGTCGATCATAGTCCTTATCGAAAACTAGATCAAACAAAAATCGACATCTCAAAATCTCCACAACAATGTTTTTCACTAAGAGTTACTAGTTTAAGATATCGTTACTCGAAAGCCCACATTATGTGTCTGTTGTTGGCTGGTTGGTGCGAAGGGTAACTCTAGAAGGAAGTACCCGATATAATCCTAACTTGGTTCAAAATTACAGAAGTTTGAAACTGTATACTTCATATAATAGGGAGAGGCTCCTTGGTATCGGTCAAACATGGTAGTATTTATGCTAATTATGGGTTAGGTGCGAAAATGGAGAATATTAAGTCACTCCTTCCAACGTTTCCCCCACAAACGGATTTTTTCCAGCAGTAACCGTTATATTGAAACTGACTGAGTCCAATCGTATGTTCCAACATCCTTTAAATTAAGGTTGATACTAGCAAGTGCTCACAACTTCGAAAAGTCTACCTTAAAATTGTAGATTCGTTCCAACAATTCGTGTAAGGTCTTTTTAGTACTCAAAATTCACAATTTATTCAGTTTGACACTTTTTATACCCTCAGCCATATGGCTACAGGGGGTATATATCATTTGATACGGTCAAAACGTGCCTAGTCGAAATAACGGTTTTAGACCCTAGGTCTCTTTGGACCAAATCCGTTTCAGAACATTTGGAGTCGACATCACTAGTCCGTCCGTCCGTCCGTCTGTCTGGCTGGTTGGTGCGCACGATAACTCTCGAAGGGAGTATCCGATTTTGTCTAAACGTAGTACATCGTAATATTTTTGTCAAACTTAGATCGAGTTCGGAGATGGACAATATCGGTCCACTCCATCTGATACCTCCCCAACAAAAGGACGAAATTTTCAAAAACTATATTTTTTGCACAGAAAGAGAAAGGATAATCCGATTTTGCTCCAACTTTGCAGATCGTAATATATGCGTCAGTGCTAGGTCAGGTGTGAAAATGGACAATATCAATATTATATATAAAATGTGATGTATTCAAATCTCACACATGCCAATATTTATATTAACCCAAGGTCTGATGTTAAGATGGAATATATCGGTCCACTCCTTCTAGTACCTCCCCCACAGGGTCGAAATTTTCAAAAAAAAAAATATATATTTTTTGCACAGAAAGGGAAACGATAATCCGATTTTGCTCCAACTTTGCAAATCCTAATATTTGCATCAGTGCCAATTCTGGTGCGAAAATAGACAATACCGGTCCACTCCTTCTGGTACCTCCCCCACAAAGGGTCAAAACTTTAAATAATTACAACTTGACAAATTTGCTTGAAATTTTCGCACATCCCAATATTAATATTAACCCAAGGTCTGTTGTTAAGATGGAATATATCGGTCCACTCCTTCTGGTACCTCCCCCACAAATGGTCGATATTTAAAAAAAATATATTTTTTTTTTTGCACAGATAGAGAAACGACAATCCGATTTTGCCCCAACTTTACAAATCCAAATATTTGCATCAGTGCTAGGTCAGGTGTGCAATGGACAATATCGGTACACTACCTTCAGGTACCTCCGCCACAAAAGGTCGAAATTTTGAATATCCATTAAGCTCATAAAACGCAAAATTTATATCGGATTCCGTTTAGACTTGACACATTTCAATCAAGACAGGATCTGTAAAGAATGGTAGAGATCGGACCATTAATCCTGGTACCTCCCCCACAAAAGGTCAAAGTTTTGAATAACCAAACGTTTATAAAGTCCGAAATAAGTGTCAGGTTATCTTTATATTTAACACATCCTATTATTTCCACTAACAAAGGATCCGTTGTGAATATATCGGTCCACTCTTTCTGGTACCTTCCGTACAAAGGCTCAAAATTTTGAATATCCATGAAGCTCATAAAAGCGAAATTGACATCCGATTCTATTCAAGACTTGGTACATACCAAAATTTCCATTAACATATCACAGTCCAAACCAAGCACGTCGCAATATTTATATTATATTTATTTAAGTCCGATTCGAAATGGGTTAAACTTTAGGGGTAAAACACTTAAATAATCATAAGAGAAGTCAAAATATTTTTAAATAATCGAACATTGGCTGAGAGTATTCATCTGTCGGCAAAACCGACCGATACTTTTTTACTTGTTTAATCAAAACTTCATACATCGTACTACTAACAAAATCAGAATTTTATTTTATATATTATTCAAGTTTATCCATTTTCGGAAAGAATAATAGGAAAATGTTAACCTTTTCCACCAAAAAGTCTTCAAAATCGTTCATTTTGAAGTTTACCGCGGAGGATATTAGTAAAACGATTGCACAACGGACCCACATCCAATGTATATGTCCAAAAACTATTTCAATGTTTTCATATGTAAACTCTAGAAATCAACAGTAACATTAATATCACTTCTATCTCTTCACCCTATACCAAACTTAGTAACATTTAATACGCATGTCCATCTCACCATCCTAGACACCAATAGAGATCGAAAATTAGTACCATTTAGTACTTTTCAAAAATTATAGTGAACACTTGCAAAACAACCACCACATACGCAAAGAGACCTAAATATCAAATTTAGAAATCCCAGCTAAATACCAAATTAAGTACTTTTCAGTACTTTCCGTATAATTAGAGAACTCAATTGCAAAAAAGTTCAGTATCTCAATTTTCGACACTAAAAGTTATCGCAACATAAAATTTCTCGGTTTTAGCTCTATCCCTTCACCTAATACGAAATATAGTACAATTCAGTACTTTTCGTACATTTACAGGGTGAGATAAAAAACTGCAACAAAGTCAAATGCCATAATTTTTACATTTTTTTTTAACATTTTCGGAAATAGCATCAAATTTTAGAATAAGTTTAGATTTGTTCGAATTGGTCACGTTTGGCACGAATTATGGCCTTCAAACGGCCAATGAAACCGCCACACGCTGCCCGAATGTTGCTCTGCGGTATTTCGGTCCATTCCCGGCGAAGCGCTTGCTTGAGGTGATCGACACTTTGTTATTTTTTAGTGCCAACCTTGCTTTCCAAAATACTGCAGACACAATAGTCCAACGGATTGCTATCCGGAGACTTTGGTGGCCATTGTGCGCTGGAAATGAAGCGAGGAACCTCATGTTGTACCCATTCTTGGGTGGCGCGTGCTGAGTGCGATGGTGCTGAGTCTTATTGGAATGTCCAAGGTCTGCGGCCAAAATGTTTGCGTGCCAAAGGCTTTAAAACACAGTCCAGAATATTTTCGCGATAATATTCGTCACTTATTCTGATTCGACGGTCGATTAATACGAGCGGAGAGCGACCATTGGCTGCTATGGCGCCCCACACTATCGCCATGGTCGGAGCTTGAGTTTTGGTGGCCAACCGAAGGTGCACGTTTTGAGCTGACCTCTTTGGCAAGTAAACACGATCATTTCAATGGCCTTACACCGAGCTCATTTTTCAATATTTGTCGAATGGAATATTGTGATACGTTCATCTCACGAGCCATTTTTCGGACACTGTGACGCGGGCTTCGATGAAGTCGCTTCTTTACTTTTCGAATCATTTCTGCAAATGTTTCTGTAGTCTTCCGTCCACTTCCTTGATGTCGGTATTTTCGAACGATTTTGTTTATTTGATACACCAAACACGATAATGAAATTTGGAATGAGTGACGGGATTTGATTATAAAATAAAATTGACCAAATTTTATTGAAATCGGTTCAGATTTAGATATAGCTCCCATATATATTTTCGACCGATTTCGTTTAATTGATACACCAAACACGAAATGTTTGTTCGATTGCAGTGGTCTGGTCTAATAAATTTTAAAATAAGTAAATTATCTCATTTATGCCACTGTGCATTAAGTTAATGTTTATATTTTTCTCGGCGATTCCCTGCCTTTTGCTTTTCTCTCTTTCTCTTAAACAAACTCTTTCTCTCTCTCTCTCTTTCTTTGTCCAATTTCATATTTCTTTATGGAATATTTTTTGGAGTAAGTTTCAGCCATGCATGCTTACACGAATCGTGTTGCCGTTTGAAATTTTTATTTCAGCCCAAATTATTTCTAAAAACCGCCCAAAATCGACCACATCCGCCCAAACTGTAAAAAGTTGAATAATGTCGATCTAGCTATGTATGTACGTCCGTCCGTCTGTCCGTCTGTCCGTCTGTCATGTTAATTTGTAATCACTCTACAGGTCGCAATTATGACCCGATCTTCACGAAGTTTAGAATGGAGGTGGGGCTAGGGTCAGAATAGAACCCTATTTCTTTTGGAGATGATCGCATAATATTTAGGGGTTGAAATGAAAAATTTCCTGATTTTGCAGTTGCTCTACAGGTCACAATTCTAGACCAATCGAAGCGAAATTTAGCATGGGGCTAGATTTTGGGCTGGGCAGAAGCCTTCCAATTTTGATGGTCATCGGGTAATATTTAGTGGTTTAGTAAACCATAGCATTTGCGATAAATAAAAGTCAAATTTTCCATTAATCCGCAAATATTTTT